CATCCATCCATTCCATCCTCATCCATCCGCACCATCCATCCATGCATCCATCCATCCATCCATCCATCCATCCATCCATCCATCCACTCCATACCACCATCCATCCATCCATCCATCCATCATCCATCCCATCCATCCATCCATCATCATCCATGCCATCCATCCATCCATCCATCCATCCATCCATCCATCCATCCATCCATGCCATCCATCCATCCATCCATCCATCCATCCATCCATCATCCATCCATCCATCCATCCATCCATCCATCCATCCATCCATCCAGCCATCCAATCCATCCATCCATCCATCCATCCATCCATCCATCCATCCATGCCATCCATGCCATCCATCCATCCATCATCCATCCATCCACTCCATCCATCCATCCATCCATCCATCCATCCATCCATCCATCCATCCCATCGTCACATCCATCCATCCATCCATCCATCCATCCATCCATCATCATCCATCATCCATCCATCCATCCATCCACCATCCTATCCATCACCACAATCCATCCATCATCCATCCATCCATCCATCATCCATCATCCATCCATCCATCCATCCATCCATCCATCCATCCATCCATCCAGTCCATCCATCCATCCATCCATGCATCCATCCATCCAATCCTCATCCATCCATCCATCCATCCATCCATCCATCCATACATCCATCCATCATCCACCATCCATCCATTCCATCCATCCATCCACATCCATCCATCTCAAAATTCATCCAGCCATTCCGCCGCATCCACAGCCGAACTATCTATCTATCTATCTATTTATCTATCTATCTATCTATCTATCTACTTCTATATCTATCATATCCATCTATCTATGCTAATCTATCTATCTATCTATCTATCTATCTATCTATCTATGCTATCTATCTATCTATTATCTATCTATCTTATCTATCTATCTATCTATCTATCTATCTATCTATCTATCTATCTATCTATCTATCTATCTATCTAATCTATCTATCTAATCTATCTATACTATCTATCAATCTATCTATCTATCTATCTATCTATATCTATCTTATCTATCTATCTATCTATCATATCTATCTATCTAATCTATCTATCTACTATCTATCTATCTATCTATCTATCTATCTATCTATTTATCCTATCTATCTATCTATTCTATCTATCTCATCTATCTATCTCTATCTATCTATCTATCTATCTAGTCTATCTATCTATCTATCTATCTATCTTATCTATCTTCTATTATCTATCTATCTATATATCTATCTATCTATCTATGCTATCTATCATCTATCTATCCATCTATCTATCTATATCTATCTATCTATCTATCTACTATCTATCTATCTATCTATCTATCTATTATCTATATATCTATCTATCTATCTATCTTCTATCTATCTATCTATTTATATATCTATTTATCTATCTATCTATCTATCTATCTATCTATCTATCTATCTATCTATCTATCTATCTATCTATCTATCTATCTGTCTATCTCTCTACTCTGTTCGATTCTCTCTATTGCACGCATGGGTCGTTTCGAAGCAGCTGGCATTATAATTACTGGCGAGGAGCGGCTGAAGGATAATCGACCCCAATAATTAAGCACAGACGCAAATCGATGCATAACTCACAAAAAAATATATCCTGATTGATATAATGACTCATCATTGAAATTAATTTCGTAAATTAATCAACGTTCAACAATGAAGAGACGGAACAAAAAACTCGCGGCGCCGCGGTGTGTGTGTGCGTGCGTGCGCGCGCCGTGTATGTGTGTGTGTATATGTGTGTGTGCGTACGCGCGTGTCATGTGTGTGTGCGTACGCGCCGTGTATGTGTGTGTGTGCGTGCGTGCGTGCGTGCGCGCGTGCGGGGGTTCGGGTATCTACGCGCGCTGTGCTTGCCTGCATGGCAGCGGGTGTGAGTGCATGCATATTTGTCTGTTTTACAGCCGTTATTGTCCTCTGCTGTTTGACTGCTGCGAATGTCTTTACGGCTTCTCCGTGCGCCAATCCCCGCCTCATCTCCTCCTCTCGCGTCCAGCATAGCTATGCACGCCCTCATTCCTCCACTCTACATCGCACAGGAAGACAGCTACTTTGTAGCCTGAGACCAGCACACACACTGACGACGCAAAGAGCCAAGATGGCAGAAGGGCCTGCAGCAGAGCGCGCGCATGCCGACAGACGGCAGATATGTTCAATTGCATCGCACGCCGGTCGCTATAAAATCAAACATCGAATGTAACTACGGCCGAGTAGGGCACGGCGCGGGAGAGCAGTCAAAATAAACAGAGCTGTGTGGCGTGTAAACGGGCAGGCGGGTATCGTCCGCACCAAACATGGCGCGCCGTCGCGTAACGAGCGCGTCGATCGTCACGTATTACATGCATGCCGCTGCAGCGGCAAGTACCAGCACGCACGCACGCACGCACGCACGACGCCACGCACGCACGCACGCACGCACGCACGCACGTACGGACAGACGAATGCCACACCACGCCACGCACGCACGCACGCACGGATGAATGCACACACGCACGCACGGCGCGCGCCGAACGCATGCACATATGCATGGAACGCGAGCGCGCGGAACGCCAAGGACGAACGAACGAACGAATAAAAACACATGCACGCACGAACACACGCACGCATCCACGGATGGGCGAATGTACACACGGACGAATGCAACACACGCACGCACGCACGCACGCCCGCAACGCACGCACGCACGCACGCACGCACGCACGGACAAGTGCACACACGCACGCACGCGCTCCCGAACGCATGCACACACGCACACGCGCGCGCGGAACGAAGGTCAACGAACGAACGAATGAAAACACATGCACGTTACGCACGCACGCAAGCGCGCGACGCAACAACCTCGTAATAACGATCGCATACACGCTCGCACGCGCACCCGTACGCACGCTATGCACTCATGCACATACGCGCACGCACGCACGCGCCCACAAACGCAACGCATGGTGCACGTACGCACGCGCGGCACCGCACACCGACGCAAATATGTACGTACCATACACGCGCTACAATGGTGGGCATGCCGTGCGTGCCTACGTAAGCAACGGCACGTACGCACGCCGCACGCCCACGTACGTATGCACGCACGTAGGTACGCACGGCACGCACGCACGACGCACGCACGCACGCACGCACGCACGCGCATGCACGCACGCGCGTAGCTCGCGAGATGAGATTTATGAACTAACAACGCGTTACGATTGTCCAGCGGAAGGCTTAATAGCTGTTATATACAGTAGCAGCTACCACGCACGTACCATCGCCAGAAACCAGGGTTTATAGTGCGATGTTCTCATGATTTTACAAATGCGATGGCCGTTACGCTGTAATTTACGACTATTAAACTATTACGACCACATATTTTAGCCGTGACGTTTGCTATCACGCTATCCGCGCATGCTACTGAGCCTTGCACACACCATCACATCACACTTCTCCTGTAAGACGCTATACCTGCATCTATTGCACGCTTTACCGTGTTCTTTAATGCGGTTCTTGTAAGACCTAGTACGCCTATACCTCGCGACACTCCTTCTACACTTAACGCAGGCAGAGGGTGAAAGACAGGCAGTCTGCGGCATGGAACCGAATACACGAATATTCGCAGTAAAAACAGAGAGTGCCTTTATAGCCGCACTATGATCGCTGTTGCGCTTGCTTGGTGTTTACCGATCACTAATAACGTCGCGTGTACTATTTTTGTCCCGTTCGGCAGGTGCTTTTTGCTGAAGACATACATCGGAAAGATGCGTGGTTGTTTTTACTAGCTTCAGTATTTCCATCGCTAGAGCGCCCATATCAGTGACGTTTGCCCAAAGTTGCTTCGAGCCTCTTTAATTGAATACTTACATGGGGTGGCTAGATGTAAGTTTTGCGCTTCTGTCTCTTTTCTTCCTTTTGTCCGTTATCTACTTATTGCCTTTTTTTCGGCATCTCTATACCCCTCCCGCAAATGTCGCCCCATTATCCCTATATGAGTGGTGTATATGAGGAGCTTAGATGAGCAACGCTCACGCGCGCGCGCGTGTGTGTATGTGTGTGTCGTGTGTGTGGTGTGTGGTGTGTGTGTGTGCTTGTGTGTGTGTGTGTGTGTATTTGCGGCGTGTGTGTGTGTGTGTGTGTGTGTGTGTGTGTGTGTGGTGTGTGTGCTTGCTGTGTGTGTGTGTGTGTGTGTGTGTGTGTGTGTGTGTGTGGGTGTGTGGGTGTGTGCCATACGACTGGGTTATATGTCTATCACGCTCATTAGCTTTCAGCATGGCAGCAAGGGGACATAAGAGAGTCTTCATGTGTTCCCTAGGTAGAATGTACATATGCTCTTTCTATGTTCTCCTGATAGGCACGGATGTCTAGAAGTCGTATATATCTCTGCTCGTCGTTCCCTGCAGCTATTCGGCCCATACTGTCAAAATATATGTTCAATACACACAGGGACACACAGACACGTGCAGGCACGCATGCACATATACACCACATTCGCACACGCACAACCGCACGGGCACGCACTCGCACGCACGCAAGATGCATACGCATGCGCAGACGCGCCCGCTGTCGTACGTTATTTTGGTTGCCGTCGTTATCGTCGTCGTCTTCGTCGTTATCATCGTCGTTCGTCATTGCCGTCGTTATCGTCGTCGTCGTTATTATCGTCGTCGTCGTCGTCGTCGTCGTCGTCGTCGTAGTAGTAGTAGTAGTAGTAGTAGTAGTAGTAGTAGTAGTGGTAGTAGTAGTAGTAGTAGTAGTAGTAGTAGTAGTAGTAGTAGTAGTAGTAGTAGTAGTAGTAGTAGTAGTAGTAGTAGTGGTAGTAGTAGTAGTAGTAGTAGTAGTAGTAGTTGTTGTTGTTGTTGTTATAATATTATTATTATTATTATTGTTGTTGTTGTTGTTATATTTGTTTATTTGTTATAACGTTGTTGTTGTTGTTTACGTTCGCCGTGCAGCCACCTCGCCCGCAACCCGTTCATCTGTGACTGCAACTTGCGCTGGTTGAGCGAGTATCTGCACAGCAACCCGATAGAGACGAGCGGGGCGCGCTGCGAGAGTCCGCGCCGCATGCAGCGAAAACGTATCGGCCAGATGAAGGATTCCAAGTTCAAGTGTAAAGGTGAGGAAACATGGACATGCTAACACAAAGTTAACATACGTCAATAGTACGTCAATAATACGTCAATAATACCATAAAGGTTATATTAGCACACGTTAAAACGCGCTAACACACATTAATACAAGCTAATACACGCTAACACACGCTAACACACGCTAACACACGCTAACACACGCCAACACGTTAATGCACGGTAACACACGGTAACATAGGCCAACACACGTCAACACACGTTAATACACGCCAACACACGTTAACACACGCCAACACACGTTAATACACGCCAACACACGTTAATACACGCCAACACACGTTAACACACGCCAGCACACGTTAATACACGCCAACACACGTTAATACACGCCAACATACGTTAATACACGCCAACACGCGTTAATACACGCCAACACACGCCAACACACACCAACCCACGTTAATACACACCAACACACGTTAATACACGCCAATACACGTTAATACACGCCAGCATACGTTAATACACGCCACCACACGTTAATACACGCCAACACACGTTAATACACGCCAACACACGTTAACACACGTTAAGACACGCCAACACACGTTAACACACGTTAATACACGCCAACACGCGTTAACACACGCCAACACACGTTAACATACGCAAATGCACGCTATAGTACACGCCAATTTAACTCCCTTCGCCTGATCATGTCCCGATCTATTATTTTCGGACTCTATGTCAATTCGTCAAAATTCGAATTCAAACGCAAAGGCGAGCGCTACACGTGCTTCCCACGCGAACACATGCATTCACGCACACCCAGAGAATCATCGACAGATGGACGGATAGATGTTTTACGCAGGTCACAGCACGCAAAGATTGATTCTGTACTTCAGAGAGGCAGTTCTGACAGGCACACAGGCTGTGCAATCGTCGGAATGTGTTTATCTGCACGCGTTGCGAAGCAGTGCGATGTAGAGAGGGAGCCAACAAAAGCAGATTGGCTTCCTAACGCGATACGACGATGCACTTATCCGCTGCTGCTGATATCGACTCATCAACAACAACTACTGCATTTCTCAACACTGCCGGCGATTATTGATGCTTCCGTCCAATAGCTCCTGTTTTCTCCCCTTCCCTCTTCCCTTCTCCCCCCCCCCCGCACGCGAAATACAAGCGGCAGCAAATAAGTTTAACAGCGCACTAAATGCCACTGTCGTCATGCGCCCGACGAGACAGAAGCGGATAAAAAGGCGATGATTCCATCGCAGGCGATGCTGGGAATGTCATAAATCTTGCATCAGAAGACTCGATATATCACACGGGGAGTGTTACCCATACTGGTTTTTCACTTGCGTCGGCTGTATGCGGTTGGGAGAGAGACGGAGCGTGCGGCAGGCCAGCAGTGTGTGCTGCTGCGGGTGAGGGCCGGGGCTGTATAATAGATAAGGTCACAGAACACGTCGCCGGTAGCAAGTGTTTAACCGGGTCTCTCGCGTCAGTCGGGTTGTTAAATCCCAAAGACAGACAGGCAGACAGACAGAGAAAGAGAGAGAGAGAGAGAGAGCTAGCTAGATAGAGACGGAGATGTGAAACATAAGGAGAGTTAATGAAAGAGCTAGAGATATAGCGAGAGAGGAGTGAGAGATATAAAAAGAAAAAGGATAGAGAGGAGAGTAATGGGCAGAGAAAGAGAAAGAGCGCCAGAAAGACACACAGACGGAGAGAAAGAGAGAGAGAGGGAGAAATAAAAGGAGAGAGAGCGCGGGAGAGAGAAACCGGGTAGGGGAAAAACAGTTTGATGCATTGAGCCAATGAATACGAATGCTATACTGCTTGTTCTACATAAAAAAAACGAGAAAAAACGACGGTCTGCTTTATTAAACTATCATTGGCCTATCGCATTTTTTTGTTATCGTAATTTAAATAGTAATTAAAGCAGTTAGAGGGTATGTGAATGTCGTTCGGTAATCCGTGTCCTGAGAGTTTCTTCTATCTTTCTATTGTATTTCTTGCAAATACAAAACTACTCTTTTTAAAAACAAAATCGAAATGTTAAAAATTAATTAAAAAATTGCTTTCTTAGGGTTCCTTTACTGATTTTTTGAAATTTGGCAACAGGCTCGGAAGAGTACAGAACAAAGAATGCCGACCAGTGCCTCATAGACATGGAATGTCCGCCATCTTGCGTCTGCGACGGAACCATCGTCGATTGCTCGAACAGAAAACTGCGCGCGGTTCCAGAAGATATACCAATGTTCACGACGGACCTGTGAGTATAGATGGCGTTGCAGTTCCGTACCGACGACATGTGTGGTCGTGTCGTCGCTATGATCAATGATCAGTAGAGATCTGACTCGCTTTGATAGCCTTGCAATGCTTTATACTCACGTAAGACCAGTTTCAAATACCGTTCATATTTGTATAGCGATACAGATATAATGCTTTCAAGATGAGATCGTGAATATGATTACAAATATCGCGTCGGCGTCGATGAATTATTGTTAGACATTCCTTGGATGCGTACTAAATTTGTTATAAAATAATTATGTTCGCATGTATCTAACGACGCCACGTAAATACTAAGGTGTTCCTAATTTGTCTGTTAATATAGACGACTAAATGACAACCTCATCAGACGGATTGAAAAGACGGGAGTCTTCAAAGAGTTGCCGAACCTGCAAAAAATGTTAGTGTAACTAGAGAAGAAGGACGCCTGCGCGTGTGTACATACAAGCGTGTGGTTACTCTGAGACTCTGTTGACGGTCGGAAATGATTATATTCGTCATTAATCTTTAATCAACGCATGGCGACGTCGGAAATATGATTGCGATTATGTCTTCGTATTTCCCGTCTGCTAGGATTAAGATCTTCAAAGAATGTTTTCCCGTTTGTTGTTTACTGCCGGCGGCGCTATACCTCGCATCTCTGCAGAAATCTCGCAGCTGCGCGGTGGCTTCGCTAAACAATTCGATAATTGACGCTCCAATTCTTCAGCGCCGTTCCTTCAATCTCGTCTCGGAATCTCTTAGAACGTATCCTATTACGTATCACTCGCCAGCCTTGTGTCGGTCTTGTGAGTGTGTGTTTGTGTGTGTGTGTGAGAGAGAGAGAGAGAGAGAGAGAGAGAGAGAAAATGAACAAGTGGTGTCGGATAAAAATACAGAGCTAGACCCATAATTGTTAGGATGATTTAGCGTATATACCCTTTGATAAATATTAGAAGACGAATAAAACAAAAAAATTAACCAGTAATTAGTTTACTAGTTTACCGAATTACTTCACGGATATTTTGCGTGTAATCTCGTGACATGTCTTTTTTCCCAGTTCATTTTGAATTGGACTTATCTTACAAAAATTTAAATAGACCCACAAAACAACGGCGTTTGATAAACCAGATAATATACTTTAGACAATGACTGAGTTTGTCGTTGTTTGGGCTAAATTAACTCCCTTATACGCATTTTTTAGTTTATTTTTATTCCAGCCTTGTTTCCATGCCGAATTGAATGGGGTTGTAATAAAACCCGTTTTTAAGCAACTTCCCCTACAGAGACTTTCAGAGACTTTTGATATGTTATAGAGAACATGTTCCTGAGTAGAAAACGGTTGAAAACCCTTCTTTTGCAATTAGTTCTAGGTTGAGCCTTTTTTTTATCATAAAATGCCTGGACTAAAGTATAATGCAGCAATTTAACCATAAAAAGTAAACGGAATTACTTACATTTTGTGAAAAAGTGGAAATATTTTCTTTACTTTTACTATTTACAGTGACGTAATCACTATAAGGAACGTAGTATAAACCTTGTGGCAGTGACTGGCATCCAAGCTCTCTTGCCGTCCTCTTCTCACAGCCTTCTTGCTCTATTAATCAACTATTCGCGTGCGACAGGCGATGCGACGAACGCCACGGTAATGGCCAAGTGCGACATCTGCTGGACATTTCCCTGTAAGAACAACGCCACCTGTCGCCGGAGAGGCCTCGACAGCTACGAGTGCAAGTGCACGCCGGGATACCACGGCGATCAATGCGAGAATGTTATTGACGCTTGCTATGGCAATCCGTGCGAAAACAACGGACTCTGCAATGTACTAGAGCAAGGTCGCTTCAGGTAAGCGTGCACTGACGCTATCATGCTTAATGAGCAGTATCGGGTCGTTGATGAAGAAAGACTGTATTATTATTACTATTATTATTATTTCCAAAGTGGATCACTGCATTAGCCGGTGGCTTCTGGGTTGACCGTGTCTCAACCTGGGACATAGGGATTCAATTCAGAAATTTTCGCAGGATATGTGCTGTTCCCACTAGTGCAATTTTCTGCACTTTTTGGGCAGTGTGGTGGCCAGGGAGTTCTTTAAGGTTCTTCTCAAAACCATTCTTTATAGAGCCAAGGGCTCTAACCACCACTGGTACAATTCTCGTCTTAGTATTCCACATCCTCCTAATTTCGATCTCCAGATCTTTGTACTTGGTGAGTTTGTTTCTTTCCTTCACCATGATGTTAGAATCATCTGGTACGGCTACGTCAATCAACAGGCATCGTTTTTCTTTCCTGTTGTGGAGCACTATATAAGAGAGAGAGAGAGAGCTTACTGCATAGTGTTGCAACAGAGTTAGCGTGAGTGTTTAACTCTATTATAACAGGAATCTGCTATTTAACCCGTTCAACTGCAACTGTCACCTGAGCTGGCTACCCGAATGGCTACGCCAGCGCCACATAGTGACCGGAAATCCACGATGCGAGAGCCCACGTGAGCTCAAGGACATGCCGCTAAAGGAAATCTTTATGCAGAATCTGACATGCAGCCGTAAGCATCATTACGCATAATTATATAATAATAATTAATGATAATTAATGTGCATAATTAGGAATACGTGGCTTATTTTCGGTTCAATAAATGAGAGCGTATACCCGTGATGTCATTTCGTATATCTTTACTTCTCATTAATTACATACATCATCTAATAAATATACATCTATTACTAATTCATATTATTATTATTATTATTATTATGATTATTATTGTTGTTGCTGTTTTTGTTATTGTAATTATATAATATATATTTTAATATTATTATACAATATTATTATCATGATCTCATTTTCTCGTTATTTTCAATTTATTCATCACCCTTATGTACTCAATTAAATTCTAACGCGTGTCGGCGGGGAGTGTGGGTGCGTACTAGTCATTCGTCTGCTGTTTTAGGAAACATGGAGAACGCATGCGCACCGGAGTCTTCGTGTCCTGCAGGCTGTTCCTGTGTTGGTACTGTAGTGAGATGCAGCCGCGCTAGTCTCACTCACTTCCCCGAGGATATACCTCTGGCCACGACCGAGCTGTAAGTATGCAGCCTGTTCTGCTAGCATCTATGACAAATATGACATACGCATATATATACGCTCTCCTATGAAACTATTTGTCATAGGTAGATTCTTCCTATGGCAAAATGTATTGTATGTGTTGTGCGCATCATAGGAGTTTAGGAGCGCTATTATGAACGCAAGCAGTGAATTTCAGCTGTAAAGCGGAACGAAGTTGACTCGCCAATATTTGTCATGTCATAGGAGAGCGTATATGCGTATGTCGTATTTGTCATAGATGCAAACAGAACATGTTGACGTGTGAGCTCACGTACTTACGTTGCGTACTACGTGTGATCTGTCTCTCACGTCGCATACACACACGCACGCCACGCCACAACCCACGGACACACGCAGGCACGCACACGCGTACACGCGCGCACGTACACGCGCGCACACAGACACGCGCACACGCATACATAGTCACGCACACACACACACGCACGCGCGCGCACACACACACACGCACGCACGCACACACACACATCGCTTCTGTTTTTTCGCAAAAATTTAATTAAAAATCGATCATCGTCACAGAAGCTTCATGTAAACTGTACACTTCCCCACGTCGCATTCAGTCGTAAAACACTTTCCGCTCGCTTTCCGATGCGTCGCCCGCTTTTTTACGCCATTACGAGTTTTCACGCGCCATTTTTGCGTCATTACGTCACAGATACCTCGACGGAAACCTGCTAGATGCGATTCCCGGCTACGCCGGATCCCTGAAGAATCTCGTGCGCATGTAAGTACGAAGGTCAAGATCAAGGTCATTACTTCGTAAACACCTGAAGGCGAAAAACAGACGTGTTCATGGAAAGCGATTTAATGTGACTACTTGTTTGCAGAAACTAACTCGGGTTTTTTATTGACTGGCAGTGAGTGATTAGTTGCTGAGACAAGTGCGGTCTTGCAGGCGCAATAATAATAAAAAACATTTGGACGTTTATATTGTTTTCCAGAGATCTCAGCAACAATTTATTAGGCAGAATTCCGGACAACTGTTTCACCAATCTCACGAAACTTCAGACTCTGTAAGTTCTAAGTCCAGCCCATCGCAAATAGAGAACAGATAATAGAGAAGTCATTACGCTTCTTATCAGGATAATAATAATAGTAATAATAATAATAATAATAATAATACAAATTTAATAATATAATATGACTGATTTATAGCTCATTTTAGATCAATAAAAATATTGATTGTCGTGTCAATAGAATTAATTGGAATTAAAAGCCATTAATAACACGTGTGAACGTATTTTACACATTCTTCCAGGATTCTGAGTTTCAACAAGCTACAGTGCATCTCTCCGACCAGCTTCGCTGGGCTGAGGTCGCTACGCATCCTCTCCCTGCACAGAAACGACATCTCCTTGATACCAGAGGGCGCCTTTGACGATCTGGTCGCTCTGACACATATGTGAGTACCGACACCACGGCGATGTGGCGATGTGGTGGCGATGCGCCTTCTATACATATATATATATATATATATATATATATATATAGAGAGAGAGAGCGAGAGAATAAAGAGAGATAGAGAGAGGAGAGAGAAAAAGATGAGATGGGGGGGGAGAGAGAAAAGCGAGGGCGAGAGCCAAGAGAGGAAAGGAAAGAAAGAAGAGTGATGGAGTGTGACACAAAAATCTAGTAGCGTTTGTTGTAGTTTTTTGTTGGAGCGTGGAATATAATTCCAATGTTCAACTTACACGGCGCACACTCCCTCCGCCCACCACAAGCAAATATACATGCATGTTCTAATGTTAGGTTTAGTTTACTCGATGCTGATGTTAGATTGCATTACGCGTCCCGCAAAGCGGAGATGAAGCTACCCCGCAGTACGTCACATGTACAGTACACCATGGCATTGTTGCCTTCTCCTTTTTGCGTGAAGGAATTCCCTCCTCATCTTCCCCCTCCCCTCCTCCCCTTGCCTCCTCCTCCTCCTCCTGCCTTCTTCTTCTTCTTCCCCTTCTCATTCTCTTCCTCATCTTCCTCCTTCTCATACTCTTCATTCTTTTCCGCCTCTTCCTCTTCCTCTTTCCCTTCCTACTCCTTCGTCACCTCTTCTCGCCCTTCTCCGCCCCCCCCTCCTTCTTTCTCCTCCTCCTCCTCCCTTCCCGTCCTCCCTCCTCCGTTCCAGTGCTCTCGGTGGACAACACTCTGTGTGCGACTGTCGCTTGAGCTTGGCTGTCAGAGCTCATCAAGAAGAGATTCTCGGCGCCTGGGAATCGCCTCGTGCAGCGGTCCCTGCGTCTATGACCGACAAACATCTGCTTACGACCCCGACTAGAGACTGTTCTCGTGTGCGGTAGGTGCAAACGATGGCGCAACTGAATCGCGTTCCCGCCACCTTTGTTATCGTTTAGTTCTTTTTGTCGTAATAACCTGCTTATGATGTTCAAGGTATATATGTACTTACAAAAACAATAATTAATGTCTCCAATCAACGTGTGCTAAATAAATAAAATAAATATATATAATATATATATTATAATCATATCCAAGAGTACATATGTAATTATATTTATTATATATAATATATATATCAAAGAGCTAATAATTACTAGAGTGTACAACGAAAAAACGGGAAAATAGTGGCCTATTTCACGACTACATATTCTACTTTGCCTGCGAGTCTAGAAATAATTTCATGGTATTGCATTAACAAGAATTCCTTGCCTCTCTACCAACAAACCCAACGTTTTGTCAATACGATACTCCTAGGCTGAGATATCGGCCCTCTAAACCTCCCCTCCCCACATGCCCTTACGCGGCTTTGTATCCCACATAATTCAGCAAACCTCCCCACCACGGTCTTAAGCATTTTGGCTATCGGTTTCCTCGTCACCACTTGGAGCGCTGATAATTGATGTCACATGCCCAAATTTGGTTACTCTTACTACAGTGAGTAACTGAGCGCTGCGTTGTAAAAACTTGATGGAGCCGGCTCCATCATGACGGGCATTAGCCGTGCTAGGATAGATAATGGAAGATAAGGGCATAGGCGAAGCACCGTCGTCATTCATAAATTTATCGCGGAAAACCGAACTTTCACGAAGCAATGCTTAGACGCGTGTAGGTTGCTGAATTATGTGGATACAAAGCCGCGTAAGGCATGTGGGAGGGGAGGTTTAGGAGCCGATATCTCAGCCTAGGAGTATCGTATTGACAAGCGGTTGGTCTTGTTGTAGAGACAAGGAATTCTGCTTAATGCAATACCATGAAATCTAGACTCGCAGGCAAAGTAGAATAATGTAGTCGTGAAATAGCACTATTTTCCCGTTTCCCGTTGTACACTCTAGGTATTATTAGCTCTTGATATATATATATATCAGGAGTTAATGAGACAAACTTTTGCTATGGCACTATTTACTATGACTTCTCTTCGTGTTGTCGTACCTAACATATTCCCTACTACGTTCAATGAATACAGTTACCAGACACACTGCAACTATTCGGGATATCTAGCTGCCCATTAAATTGACTACGTCACGATTTTCTATGGTGTATATTTGTAAAAAAAAACATTTTGTTGCATTAAAAGTAAGTACTAACGGGACTAAACGTATCGTCAAATTGTTACTCGATAAGATTGCTTCTCAACTAGTTAAAAATCCAAAAATCCTGGACGATTTGATAAATATGATCCTGACACTGATTGCTTGCTATGTATGAGTCACGAGTGTATGTTTACATCAAACAATATAGTAAAATAGGAAGTAGTCCAGGCATTTTATGATTCGACCTGGTACTAATTGCAAAAGAAGCTTTTTCATCATTAACCAGTTAGAATGAACCTCTAAATGAACATACTAAAAGTCTCTAAGGATCTAAGCAAGGGAACACCTCCAAATGGGACTCACCGCTAACTCGCTCTCTCCTGCAACATGAAAACGAGGCTCTAAACCGGAAGTTGTTGTTTTCCGTGATTTTATCGCCAGAAATCGAGCCATTTTGCTCGAAACAAGAAAACAATATTATGGATGGTTAAATAGCTTTAATCTGTATTAATAAATACAAAACAAATACAAAAAAATAATATTTCTTAAAATATGACACTTGTGCAAATTGTAAATTCAAACCTTGTGCAAGTAGTAGTGAGTGACATTTCGAAAACGTTATCGCGTTGGCGCGCATCAGAAACAGCAGACTGCAATCCATTGCTCTGACTCTTTCTGGTGCCTTTTGTTATTCAAAGCAGATTGGCGGGCCACAAACACTACTTTCTATTGTTCTCTAATGCGCGCGCAATATAGTAAAACTCATCGATTGTACTGACTCGTTCTGGCACAAATGTCTTTTGTTATTCAAAGTAGAATCGCGGGCCACAAACACTGCTTTCTATTGTTCTCGCTAAAAAATTTGTTCCATGGATAGCAGTTTAAATGTCATGCTTGGGAGACCTGACTTCTGCGCTCATATGTTAAAATTACTCATCCTTGCTGTCATAATCAATTGGATCGTCGGTATTGGTGCATGCAGACCCTTTGCATTGGCCACAGGCTGGGGAGCAGTGCATGCTGTTTTTGCGGCAGGTGCATCGCAAACTGTTACAGTCCGACGCACAGTTGCACCTAATCAACTGCAGCAGAGATTGCGGTGCAGGTGGCAAGTCGGTCGTAATTGAGACAACTTCGGTATCTCTGACTTTCCATCCCCATTGCTCTATGAACATGTCTACGTCCTCTCCTTGCCACTGCTTCACTTGCAGGTACACGCGTAGGCTGTGATACCGGGCCGCTGCCGCGCTCGGAGGTAGGTTCTGTGGTTGTATATGTGACGTCTTCGTTGCGAGTTTTTGGAAGTATTGCTGATGCCTGAGAGTGTCGAGTCCGTCCGTTGGCTTTCCATTGTAAAGTGATACCAGTGCCCTTTCACCTGCATTTACAACATCGGCTACAGCGGAATGACCACTGAATACATTGGCTTGATCTCTCAAGTACGGAATTTCGATTAATTTCTTCATGGCCGTCGCCTTGCCAACACCGTACAGGCGGGAAGGTTGTCACATCCGGTCACTGCGTGAAGAAAAGGCAGATTCTTGCACACTTCACTGCCCAACTGCTCTTGAACTTTCTTCATGTGCCATACGCGCGCACCTCTTGCATTTGCCTTTGGCTCAGGCCTGAAGACGAGATCGCAGCCATCCTGGCGAGCATGGTAGCATAGGAGAACCAACAAATCGGTGTCATCTCCAACAAGAACTGTCGTGTTGGTCATAGCAGACTCCACTGCTGTTCTGACTATGAGTAGATCAGCGTCTCCATTAGGCATGGTAGGTTGTGCAGCCAGCCTTGGAGAGCTTGGCTCAACATGACGAGAAACCGTTGCTTGTTCTTGAGATTCGAGAGGAAGTTATCCTTCTTCCGCGTAACGACCATGCTTTCTGTAAAAATGACAGTCGCTGCGACCTTCCCAGATGTGCGCCTTTGCTGCGTCATATGTTTAGTCGAGATCTTGTCGTATCCATCAAATACCACGATCGCACTTCCATATTTCCTGGACACGTAAGTGTAATAAATATAGATTGCACACTTCCTTTTACGTCGGAGAACCTCTCGGCCACGGGATTCGGTGTAGGAGAGCACTTGCCATCCACACGTACTGGACACCCCTTCTGGTTCTGTCTTGGCCTCTGGTGACAGCTTGGCCCACAATGCATCTGCTAGAGCCGGCTTTTGCGGCTGCCTTAATGTGACTGGCGAGTCGAATAGAGCTGTTGGATAACTGCAGAGCTCGTAACGAAATAATCCCTCCAGTTCGGAGTTATCGCATGCGATGATCAGACGCTGAAAATATAAGTTGAGATCAACTTGTACGCGATCACTGTCGATCTTCACAGAGGACTTTGACGCCATTGTGACTGCCTGGGCATTCCGTTTGAATGAATACTCTGCGGCACACTTCCAATTCATCACCGTGAGGATCTTGTCCCCGACTTCCTTGCCACATCGGCGTTGACAGCACTGTCAGCATCACACCGTTCATTATATTCCTTAGGCTGCCATCACTGTCAGGAAAGAACGGGTTGCTGCCTGCAAGGGCTGTGAGGGTAGTGATCGACATCTTTCATGTCTCTTGTCGTGTCTTGCTTTAGACATATCCTTGTTCTGTTCGCCCAAGTTAAACAGAACTCCGCGTGAGCTCTTGCATTGTGTCATTGGTCTCGGCGCAGGCAAGCATAGATAGCAGCCAGACAAGGCGTTGTTGCTCTGTCAGACCCTCCCTCTCGCCAAGCCTCCACTAGTCTTCAGACTTCTCATGAGGACCTGTTCGATCATGCGGTCTATCGATAAACCCGCCCAAAATCTATCACTTTCTTCTCGCAACGTGAAGACCAGAAGTGAAGTCTCTATAGACATCTGGGTAGTCTGTCTTGAAGTCGGACATGGACTGTAGGTACAGGCGAGCACACTTCACGTACCACAAGTTGTGGCCAGACGCAGCGAGATACGGCAGCATTCTGGTTAGTGCCGGGAAGTGGAGTTCCCAGTTCGCTGTACGCTCGGCTCTTATGAAGGAGCGCAGTAGTTCACCATTTCCATGTACTGGAACCACAGCGCTGCAGTGCGGCTAGTCGTAGCGAGGAGATCTTGCTTGCTTCGAACGCATTTTTGTATGTTCTCTAGGACGTCTGCTGCGCAGGCTTCTTCGGCTAAGACTTTCTTTTCGGCCAGCATTTCAAACAAAGCATGGGCCTCCTCACGCTTCAGGATTCCATCTTTTATTACAGGGTCATTGGGGTGTTGGGGATCTAGATTTCATTACGTTCGAACGCGATTGTTTTTAGCAGCCAATCAAGTGTAGCAACGAAAGCTAGGAAACCCGTTGGAGTGGTTGACACCGGACAGTGTGTGCAGCTGTAGCACAACTCGTACGGCGTTCTAAATCGTGAGCGAAAATATACGCTGCCGGGCAGCGTACAGAATCGCGAGTGTGTCCTAGGCTTAAGATATACATTCTCTCAATACATTCTCTCACTGGCGATACAGCTAAAATATGCACTAGCAATTATAATTTCGGCGAGGTTATTTAAGTCGGAAACTGGCTCCAATGGTCTCTCAATCCATGCAGCATGATTCGTGCAGCTTGTATGCATGCGACTAGCGATCCTGCAAGCTCCTGTGACACACCGTGCAGACAGAGCCAAATACATGAACAAGTGGTGTCGCGATAAAAATACAGAGCTAGACCAAATTGTTAGGATGATTTAGCGTATATACCCTTTGATAACATTAGAAGACGAGATAACACAAAAAATTAACCAGTAATTTAGTTTACTAGTTTACCGAATTACTTCACGGGATATTTTGGCGTGTAATCTCGTGACATGTCTTTTTCCCTCAGTTCATTTTGATTGGACTTATCTACAAAAATTAAATAGACCACAAAACAACGGCGTTTGATAAACCAGATAATATACTTTAGACATGGACTGAGTTTGTCGTTGTTTGGGGCTAAATTAACCCCCTTAACGCATTTTTTAGTTTATTTTTATTCCAGCCTTGTTTCATGCCGAAATTGAATGGGTTGTAATAAAACCCGTTTTATTAACCAACTTCCCTACAGAGACTTTCAGAGACTTTTGATATGTTATAGAGAACATGTTCCTGAGAGAAAACGGTTGAAAACCCTGTCTTTGCAATTAGTTTCTAGGTTGAGCCTTTTTTTTCTATCAAAATGCCTGGACTAAAGTAATATGCACAATTACCCATAAAAAGTAACGAATACTTACATTTTGTGAAAAAGTGGGAAATATTTTCTTTACTTTTACTATTTACAGTGACGTAATCCTATAAGGAAAGTAGTATAAACCTTGTGGCAGTGACTGCACTCCAAGCTCTTCTTGCTCGTCTCTCTCACAGCCTTCTTGCTCTATTAATCAAACTATTCGCGTGCGACAGGCGATGCGAACAACGCCACGGTAATGGCCAAGTTCGACCTCTGCTGGACATTTCCCTGTAAGAACAACGCCACTGTGCCGGAGAGGCGCGACAGCTACGAGTGCAAGTGCACGCCGGGATACCACGGCGATCAATGCGAGAATGTTATTGACGCTTGCTATGGCAATCCGTGCGAAAACAACGGACTCTGCAATGTACTAGAGCAAGGTCGCTTCAGGTAAGCGTGCACTGACGCTATCATGCTTATGAGCAGTATCGGGTTCCGTTGATGAAGAAAGACTGTATTATTATTACTATTATTATTTCCAAAGGGATCACTGCATTAGCCGGTGGCTTCTGGGTTGACCGTGTCTCAACCGGACATAGGAGTTCAATTCAGATTTCGCAGGATATGTGCTGTTCCCACTAGTGCGATTTTCTGCACTTTTTGGCAGTGTGGGGCCAGGGAGTTCTTTAAGGTTCTTCTAAAACCATTCTTTATAGAGCAAGGGCTCTAACACCACTGGTACAATTCTCGTCTTAGTATTCCACATCTCTCTAATTTCGATCTCCAGATCTTTGTACTTGGTGAGTTTGTTTCTTTCCTTCACCATGATGTTAGAATCATCTGGTACGCTACGTCAATCAACAGGCATCGTTTTTCTTTCCTGTTGTGGAGCACTATATTAGGGCGGTTTGGCAGGTATCGTGCGATCTGTCTGCACTGCACTCCCACATTATGTAGTATCTCGATGTTGGTCAACTGTGTCTCGGCTATGTTTCATACGCACGTGTCAGGTACTATGCTCAACAAGTTCACTGCAGATTGACCAGTGAGATAGCTGGCTACCTTGTTATGGGATTTATGTACTCGGTTTGGGGCCAGCACTGTGCATCCCGGAGATGATGTGGCTGATGGTCTCCTCTGCCTTACTGCCACATTCTGCACTTGCTGTTGGACCTGTTCTTGAGGATGTGCGTTGATGGTATCTGTGTGTTGAGTGCTTTTTCTTGGGCTGCAATGATCAGGCTTCTGTCTGCCTCTTGGGCCCGACGACCCTGAGTCAGGCAACGGCCTGCAGTCTTCGACAAATGGCTGTCGAGGCTCTTGTAGAATCTTTCACATGCAAAGGCCTTGTTCTTCAATACCTCGATCTTCTCTGCTTCTATATTGGCCTTGCAGTCCTGCTTTGTTGAGGATTGGCTGGTGGAGCTGAGGAGACAAGTATTTGGCTTTGATTCTTTAGCCTCGCGTAAGAGAGCATGATTTGATATTCCAGACTGATGGATTTTGATAAGCTTTGTGAATGTGTCTTCCTTAAGCTCGATGTAGTCGCCTAGACCTACAATGGCAGTGTTGTACGCAGACATTAGTTCAATGAGACCACGACCACCATTTTTCCTCTTGATGTACAGTCGCTCTACATCTGCTTTTGGGTGATGGAGACCGTGCATGGTTAGTAGCTTTTTTGTCTTGCGATCCATCCTTTCGATATATGATCGCAACCAGTTGATCAGCCCGAAGCTGTACATGGGGACTGGGAGTGCCAGGCTATTGATCGCTGTTATCTTGTTTTTTGAGCAGAGCTCAGACTTGAGAACTAGGCGAACTCGGCGATAGTACTCCTTAGCAATGTTCTCCTTCATCTTTGCATGCTGAATACCATCACTTTCGTCTACACCAAGATATTTGTAGGTGTCCTCGTGGTTTAGACTTTATATGGCTGTCTTGTCATCAAGCTCGATATTTCGACTTTTTACTAGCTCACCACCTTTTAAGATTGCGGTTGCACACTTTTCCAAGGCGAACTCCATTTTGATGTCATCTCTGAATGCTTTGACTGTTACCAAGGCCTGCTCCAACTCATATTCGTTATTGGTGAACAGTTTAAGGTCATCTATGTAGAGCAGGTAGCTGATGGTGTTGTGTTTATCGACTGTAAATCCCAGACCCTGTCTATTCAGCATGTTGGTAAGCGGTGTTAGTGCTAAGCAGAATAGCAGGGGAGAGAGCGAGTCACCCTGGAAGATTCCTCTCTTGATTGAGATATCTTTTATCCTGAGGCAGCCTCCTTGAGTGAAGAGGAGCATTTCAGTCTTCCATTTTTTTATTGTAGCTTCCATGAACTGAATGATGGTTGGTGACACACGGTAGATTCTTATGGCTGCGAAAATCCAGGAATGTGGAACACTGTCGAAGGCTTTCTTATAATCAATCCACGCCATTCCTAGGTTTCTCTTGAGTTTTTTTGCCATGCTCACAATCATGTTACTAATGAGAAGTTGGTCTTTGCACCCTCTAGACGCTCTTCTACAGCCTTTCTGCTCATCTGTGAGGATGTCGCTCTTCTGTAAGTAATTGTAGAGGCGGTTGCTGATTGCAGCAGTGAGAATCTTGTAGGTGGTAGGCAGGCAAGTGATTGGTCAATAGTTCTTTGGTTCTTTTGTATCCTTGCCTTTTGAAAAAAGGAAAGTGATTCCTGATGTCAACCACTTAGGGCTATTGCTTGGATCCTTGATGGTGTCATTTAAGGCCCTGGTTAGTTGTTTATGGAGGGCACTTAAATGCTTAATCCAGAAGTTGTGCAGCTTGACTGGGCCAGGAGACTTCTAGTTGTGTGTCCGCTTGATGGCCTGCTGTACTTCACACATTGTAATGTCAGTCCATACATTCATTGCTACATTTTGGAATGCTTCCTCCTCTTGTTTGATCCAAATGGCTTTAGTCTTGTGATCTGTGCTAGCCTCCAGTATTCCACGCCAGAATTGATCGAGTCGCTCTTTAGAGGGAGGCTCCTTGATGGTGCTTTGCTGCTCGTTGAGATGCCGGTAGAATTTTTTGGCATCTTCATGGAAGAGCTTATTCTGATAGTAGTGCTCACTCCGCTTAGTAAACCTTTTCAACCTCTGAGCTTTGGCCTGTAGTTTCACCTTTATTTCTTGTTCGAGCTCGCATATGGTTTTATTCTCCCTTCGGCTCTTGCATAAGATGCTCCTGGCCTTGGCATGTACTTGCTTTGTTGTGACACCTTTTTTTAATTTCCGCTTAAGGATGGAGAGGTCTTTGGCGATGCGTTTTCAATTTTTTGTTCTGATTCTCGTTCTTCCGACTGTTGGTATCCTCTGTGGCGTCAGTGACTCTCTCTCTCTTGTCTCTCCAGCCAATAACTGCAGCAGTCGCGTACATTAATTCAATTGATTTCTGATAAGCTTAGATGGTTATCTTTGATGCATATTTGTGAGGGCCTAGTTTGCAGCTTGAATATCGTGCCGTATTGCGCTTGTATGAGATGAATCTTTTTCAGGCTTTCTGCGTTGAATCCAGGGGGCATTGCCTGGAGTTTTTAGGCAAGACTTAGTAGAGATCTCGAATCTTCACATATCCACTACTGATTCACTTACCAGCCTCGGGGCTTGGGGGTTGTAGGTCTTCAGGTTGTTCTCGAGTGGGGATAAGTGTTGGTTGCGATGCATTATTTTGCTTATTGCCAGCTGCCACTATCTGCTCAAAGTCATGTGTCGGCTCGCAGCTTCTTGTCTGTAATAATCCACCTCAGGATTAGCGAAGAGTATTTAGAATTCTGCGTGGCTGAGAGAATGGTTTGCGATCCTGCCTCGCCGATTCGTCGGTATGTACCTTTACTACCCGCCATTCAGTGTTGTTCATCTTGGGCTAAATATATTCAATATTATTATTATAAATTATATTTACTGCAATTATTATTATAATTATTATTATTATTATTGTTATCATCATTATTTAATCTCTATTGTTTACAATTTAAAGACTATTTAAGCACATCTACTTCCGCTACAGTCCTTTTAAATTAGCGCGAAAAAATTTCCAAGCTTAGTCATGTAAAATACAATACATACATACAATACATACACTACAATACAATACAATACAATACAATACAATACAATACAATACAATACAATACTATATCATAGAAACCAATTTGTCAGTGGTTATTATTTGCACAGACAGAATAATAACGAATATGTAAGAGGACGTCATTTCTGCCTATTAATAATAATATTATTATTATTATTATTATTATTATTGGTACTACTACTGCTACTACTATCATGTTTCTGTGTGTGTTTTGCGGCGTAGTTGTCAGTGTCCGGGCGGGTTTGAAGGCGACCGCTGTGAGACGAACATAGACGATTGCGTCGGCAACAACTGCGAGAACAACTCCACCTGTCGGGATCTGGTCGTCGACTACGAGTGCGTGTGCACGCCGGGATATACAGGTACAAGTTTATTATTATTATTATTACTATTATTATTATTATTATTCGACTACGAGTGCGTGTGCACGCCGGGATATACAGGTACAAGTTTATTATTATTATTATTACTATTATTATTATTATTATTATTATATACATATATCATGAATTCAAAGTTTCGTCCTATACACCTGTGATATGTAACGTTAACAGTGAGATATTTCTGATGAATATGGCACAACTTAAACATGGTGTAACTCCAATACACAAGTGGCACAAACTTTAAAGCAAGTATCGCTCTAATTGTTTTTAGAAATGTGTTATCAGTTTATTCTGAGTTTTTAGGGCGACTTGTAAACTAGCGTCGACTAGATTCGCGCAATAATGATTTTATATCTATAAGATACGAAAACAGTATTGGACGATAAACGCCAACGATACAATCAAAACACGCAGGGGAAATTATATTACGACCAAAATATTTTTGGTAACGGCCTCGCGGTTCACTAAATTCTAATCGATGCTAGGGGAACCCTTTATGCTATTACATTGGTGGTATGAGTGTATAACTGTTGTATACTATTACTAGTATATAGTTACATCTGCTATAATATACTGTTATTACTGTTACTAGTGTATATCCATAATTGTTTTCTACTGTTACAACTGTCACTAGTATATATCTACAACTGTTATATACTGTTATAACTGTTTTGTATATCTATAAGTGTTGCATGTACGTATAGGTCAGTTCTGTAGCGACAGGATCGACTACTGCTCAGAAAGTTTCAACCCGTGCGAAAATGGCGCAACGTGTGTCANCTTAAATATTATAATTGTCTGGCAATGTTTATTGTCCGATTTACCCAATGTTCTAATTTGTCGGCCATATTATAGTACTTGAATTAGTAGCAGCGATTTTAACCCAGCGCAGCGGGTACCCCGCAGCTAGTAATAACATAAAAGATAACAATGGCGAACTATATCCAAGGACATCATGGTTTTGTCTTCCTCCGGTTTGTCGCTGGGCATGACGCCTCACTAACGGCTTTCCGTACTGGGCTTTTAACAGTTAACCTGCTAGTTTTTGCAGTCAGGGGTCCGTTATCAAAAACAAATTTAGTCCTAACATTAGTCTTAACAATAATTATTTCTCACAGACCGTTGACAGGAACCAAAAGATAACTCGTAAAGTTACGAGTTTCTCGCATGGAGTGTATAGAGGTCCGGTCTACGAGGAAAAGTTCATGTTAAGACTAATGTTACGCTTAATCTTATTTCTGACAACCGACCCCAGGTTCTAACAGCTGTAGCAGATAACAAAGCGAGACATTTAAGATGGCCGCTCACTGCGCCGTCTGACCGCGATCTCTGTACAAAAATACAAGCTGTAATTTTAATTACTATCACGAAATAGCGATTCGTAACGCGCTTAATGTGAACGTGTGCCGTTGATGGGCTCTCCATATACATCGAGTTTGCTATTTCTCAATGATTTCTGCTGTTTTAGGTGCGTCTGTCCCAGCGGATATACGGGCGTCAACTGCTCGGTTAACATTAACGACTGCGAGGGCCACAGCTGTCAGAACGGAGCCACCTGTGTAGACGGTCTCAGTGCTTACACGTGCGAGTGCGCCGACGGATTCGCAGGTAGGTTTATGTTGGCGATGTATGTGTTTACGCGTGCCGTGCGTGGCTGTGCGTGCGTGGTGTGTGTAGTGTGGGCGTGTGGTGTGCGTTGTGCGTGTGCGTGTGCGTGTGTCGTATTGCGTTTTGTGCGTGTGCGTGTGCGTGTGACGTGTTCGTGTGTGTGTGTGTGCGTGCGCGTGCGTATGCGTGTGTTTGTAGGTGTATACATACACGTACGCAGGCACGCGTCAGTCATGCTCTCATGAAATTCGAAGAACTTCGATGGGCGAAAATATTGATTCAATCCCACAAACAATTGCCTAGCTGATTAAGTGTGTGTGTGTGGGTGGGGGGATGTATGTGTGTGTGTGTGTGTGTGTGTGTTGTGTGTGTGTGTGTGTGTGTGTGTGTGTGTGTGTGTGTGTGGTGCGTGCGTGCGTGCGTGCGTGTGTGTGTGTATATACTTATATATAAAGTGCCATATTTCCATATAGGCACTTACTGCGAGATCTCACTCGTCGTGCCCATGATAGACTCGATGGCGAGTATATGCGAGAAGGAAGACTGCCAGAACGGCGTCTGCTACAAAAAGGAAGCCACGGAGGGCTACCAGTGCAAGTGCACACCCGGCTTCGAGGGCAAAGCGTGCGACACCTTGCGTTCAGTTACCTTTAAGGTGAGGCCAATGCTAAATTTATATCGTGTGTTTAAATATTCGGACTTACAATCGCATGTAATCCTTATAGTCGTTTTCTTATATTTGTTTTGAGTTGAGGTATTGAGGTTACTTGTATTTTGAGTACCGTTTCGTTGGCACATGTGAAACCGTGTAAATCTAAGCTGAGGCTCTTTAAGCTGAACCCAACCGACCTCAGAGGTCAAGACGTACATCCGCTCCAAGCGGCCTATAAGTATAATATAACGGATATAATATAAATAATATAATATAATATAAGTATAAATCATATAATAACTAATATAATATCAAATGATAATATAGATATAATGTAATGTAATGTAATATAATATATATAATATATATATGAATATAATGATAATATAATATAATATGATATATAATATAATATAATATATATATTAATATAATATTAATATAATATAATGTAATGTAATGTAATATAATGTAATGTAATGTAATATCAATTTAATATAATCGTAATGTAATGTAATGTAATGTAATGTAATGTAATATAATGTAATGTAATGTAATGTAATGTAATGTAATGTAATGTAATGTAATGTAATATAACGCAATATAAGAGATATATGTTGTGTACATACATCTGTTTAATTGGCCTACCCGTCTGGGCGAGGTAACCATTCCCCTTTGCCATCGCTGCTAAAGGCTGGTTCACGCACGTGCAGGTGGTTCAGGTGTTTTACGCACGTGCACGCGAAATTGTTGACTTTTCGTCACTTTGATGCCAAACATTGTTTTTGGAGCGTCCTATCATAACATTGATTGACTCTAGCTTAATCACGCCAGTCAGATTGGTTAATCATAGCGAAGATATGACAGAAGCTGTATACCAACACCATGCACCTTTATTCTACATACCTATACACACACACCGTCTACACACACATGTATATTCCTCGCTCATATATATCTGAGTGGGATCATGAACATATAATTATATATATATGTTCATGCGATCCCTTTCAGATTTCGAACACAACCAATCCGCACTGTCATCCACGGGCACTCTCGTTGTTACATCCAAAACTCTCGTTGTTCATGTTGCCAGCAACAACTCTCGTTTGTCATAGCGGCACAGGTCTCGGTTGTTCATGAGGGATCCACCCACTCTCGTTGTTCATCTACGCAACTCTCGTTCGTTCATCCACGCACTCTCGTGCTTCATCCAGCACTCTCGCTTGTTCATCCACCACTGCTCGTTTGCTCCTCCAGCCTCTCGGTTGTTTCATCCACGCACTCTCATTGTTTTTCCCGAGCATCCACGCACTCTCGTTGCTCATACCAGCAGCTGCTGCAGTTGTTCATATCACGGACACTCTCGTTGTTCATCACCAGCACTCTCGTTGTTCATCCACCACTCTCGTTGTTGCATCCCCCACTCTGCGTTGTTTTCATCCACACACTCTCGTCTGTTCCCATCCACTCACTTCGTTGTTCATTTACCACCACTCTGCATTGTCATCACCACTCTTCGTTGTTTTATGCCAGCCACTCTGCGTTGTTCATCCACGACTGCTCGTTGTTCATCCGCTGCCACGCACTCTCGCTGTTCATCCACCACTCTCGGTTGTTCATCACCTTTCGGACACTCTCGTGTTGCAATCCAACTTCACTCTCGGTTGTCATCCACGCACTCTCGTTGTTCATGCCCACGCCTTTCGTTGTTTCATCCACTGACATCTCGTTGTTCATGGCCACCACTTCCTCGTTTTCATGCCACACACTGCTGCGTTGTTCATCAACCACGCCTCTCGTTGTTCATAGCCACCACTCTCGATTGTCATCAGCACTCTCGGTGTTCATCGCACCACTCTCGTTGCTCATCTACCACTGGCTCGTTGTTTCATGCCAGCCAGCTCTCGGTTGTTCATCCAGCTACTCTCGTTGTTCATCCCGGTGCCACTCTCGTTGTTCATCACGCACTCTCGTTGTTCATCGGACGCACCACTGCTCGTGTTCATCCAGCAGTCTGGCGTGCATCATCGCAGCACTCTCCTTGTTCATAACCACGACACTCTCGTTTGTTCATATCCACGCACTCTCGTGTTCATCCACTACTACTGCGTTGTTCATCCACGCACTCTCGTGTTTGCACCCAGCCACTCTCGTTGTTCATCCAGCCCAGCGTCTTGTTGGCTCATCCAGCACTCTCGTTGCTCATCGCAGCACTCCTCGTTCGTTCATCCACCACTCTGTTGTTCATCCACCACTCTCGTTGTTCCATGCACCACTCATTGCGTTGTTTATCCACCACTCATCCGTTGGTTCATTGCCACCACTCTCGTTGTTCATCACCACTCTCGTTGTTCGATCCACTGCCACTACTGCGGCTTTCATCCACACGCACTCTGCGTTGTTGCATCCACCACGCGTCGTTGCTCATCGCACCACTCTCGTTGTTCATCCACCACGCGTCGTTGTTTATCCACACTGACCACTCTCGTTGTTCATCCACCACTCTCGTTGTTCATCCACCACTCTCGTTGTTCATCCACCACTCTCGTTGTTCATCCACCACTCTCGCTGTTCATCCACCACTCTCGTTGCTCATCCAGCACTCTCGTTGTTTATCCACCACTCTCGTTGTTCGCAGGGTAAGAATAGCCACGCGGAGTTCCCTCCGCTGAACCTCAACCCGTCGGTGAACGTCACCGTGGTGTTCGCGACCAGCGAGGAGAACGGCGTCATCGTCTACATGGGCGACCAATCACACATCGCCGCCGAGCTGTTCCGCGGTCGCATCCGCATCAGCTACGATGTCGGCAACTACCCCGTGTCAACGATGTTCAGCTACGAACAGGTGCGTGTGATTAATACATGTGAATGTATTAATCAATGTGTTGTGAATGTACATGCACACACACAAACACACACACACACGCGCGCACGCACACACACACACACGCACGCACGCAGGCACACGCACCCACACACACACGCACACACACACGCACGCACGCACACGTACACGCACGCACGCACCAACACACACACACACACGCATACACACAC